TATCCAGAGGTAAAGATTTTGAAGCACAAGTTTAGGTTTAGAGAAAAAGTAATTTAATCAAATTCAGTAAATTTCAAACCTGATTACACATTAGAATCACTTAGGGTGTTTTAAAACTTTAAGTGACTGAATTCCATTTTAGAATAATTAAATCCAAATCTCCAGGTATCAGAGGTAATCATCAATATTTAAAACAAATAAATAACAAAAAACTCTCCAGAGTAGTATTGGGGAAGAAATAAAAGACAAAAAGAGATGGATTAACTAATTGAAATTCTCTACTGTTCACTGAAACTGTCTAGATTTCCCATAGGAATGCAGCACATAAACTTAATGGCATAACTTTAAATAGTTTGGGGGTACTATTGCACACCTTTGCAAATAGCTTTGAGAAATTCTGGCTTCTAGGATTGGTAATATGTTCCCTGCTGTCTTGTTAGATATTTTATCCATGGGGAATCTCTGAACAAGGCCAAATGCAATAACTTTCTAACATTCTACACCTTCTTATAATGCAGTGGACTTTGAGGGTAACAGGTACACATACTTATTTTAGGAGCACAACACAAATAGATTTCCAAGGTATAACAGCAAATACACACGTAACTTTATAGATTTGTGGAGGAAAGTATCTTTTCTATTCCCAAATCCTGCTGAGACATGTTCAGAAAGGTCTGAGAAGTATTTTATACACGTTTTCTTTTTAAATACAGGCACATTTAATATTCTGATTTTGACTATAAAAAGTCAAAGTATTTGATTCCACTTTAAAGGTATTTCTGGTCTATTTGAAGAAACACAACCTGGTATTTAGAAAAATGGATGAGTTTGGGAGTCAATCAGAACTATATTTAATTTGTTGATTAATATTTAATTTGTTGATTATATTTAATTTGTTGCATGATTAAATACCCCAATACTAATTATTTGATTTTAGATGTGTCGTATAAATTCTACAAAGTGCTGTTTTCTCATCAATAAAATCAGAATATTAATAAATGCTGGATGTATATTTTTTCTGTGCCTAGAATTTCCTCTGGGACATCTTTCAGAAAAGAATTAAAATCAGTAAGAGATGCAATTGATATTGGTGTAAGCATTTCTGTTTTATGAAGGCAGTTTCAGTATTTTCCCCAATGAACAATGTAAAGTGGTAAAATGGGAAATAACTTACTTCCATGTTAATATTATTTAAATTTCTAATATTCCATACCTTAGCAATTACTAGATTAGAGCTTTTTTAGGCTCCTTTGTAGGTTTTACAGAGTAAACTATCTTTTTAATTTCCAACATCTTTTAGCTGTACCCAGAAAAGACTTAAAAATTTCTGATGTATTTGCCTTTTTTAAAAATACAGAAAAAATTAAGATTGGTTTTGGTTATGGTAAAACAAGTAAATTATTTGATCCTTCCCTGGGAGGCACTTCTAGGCTACTTGAAGAGATGTGCTCACTTTCTGATAGCTATCACAAAGAGGTTGGCTTCAGTTTGGCCCCTTACTGTAGTCATGCACATCATAGCTGCTTTTTGGTCAAGGACAGATCCCGTGCAAATATGACTGCTGAGTAAAGTCTCACTGTCTTGGGTTATATAGGTGCACTTCATGGTTGCTTGCACAAAATCACCTAGCCACACATTTCTCAGAACCAATCCCTGTCCCATAGGGATCCCTGATTGTTATTTCTCAGTACACACTTCAGTGCATCCTGACCAATCACATGTGCTCCTTACATGGCTGGATGCAAAACCTGGCAAGTCAGCTTCTTGGAGTTTCTGAGGAAATACTTTGGTTGGTGAAAATACTCTCAGAACAGCAATCTTCTCTAATTTTGAAGTCACCAGAAAAGCACCCAAAGTTTATCAGGAAAAGCAGCAGTCAGCTTTGTGAGGGTCAGTGAAGTTCAGGTAGGAAGGAGATGCCTGGTGTGAGAGAGGCCTGATGTGATGTGGCAGCACAAAAGGCTTTTCTGTAGAAGCACTTCATATTTTGGTTAGCAGCTTTCACAGTGAGCATTTAGTTACCAAAGAGAACAGATTGTAGGAGTAGTGCTTGATACTCAGGAAATACCCCTCCTACTAGATCTATGCTGGCTATTTACACACCTGCTGTTAAAATTAACCTTCATATTCCATAAGATAGGTTTAGTGCCCCTTCTTTTATCAATGAAGATACGGAGGCCCCCAAAAGGTAAATTAATTGGCAAAGGCTGAACATCTTTATAGTAAGTAACATAGAAATTAGACCCAGATCTGTTCGGCCCTAACAATTTTTCCTCTGTGGCATTGTCTACAAACAGGTATGGATACACCATGTAGAATCACAAAGGCTCTCTAAAGCCTCTCTAAAGAAGTTTTGGCATTAAATTTAAGGAAATTCGGTTTTAAGTCTTTATTCTACTATTCTTTTTTTTTTTTTTTTTTTTTTTTTTTTTTTTTTTAAAGGGGTTTTTTTTTTCCCCC